GCTTCCTCTTGTGTCCACAATTAATCCTGTTGGATGTGGTTGGTCCTTCTTGGTGGTATGCTGACATTACCCTGGATACTGTGGCTCTTGATACATCACAAAGACTTGCTGTCTTGGTTACAGATGCTCCAGCATCTGGCCACCAGGCTGGTCTAATTTAGCCATGAAACATCCCACACTAAAATGACAGGTGTTTCAGTTTCATTGTCTAACCCCTGTATCTTTCTTCAATTTGAGTGTGTATTGCTTGGCAGTGCACTAGCTATGAACTAATTTGTATGACACTTCTCTTACTTTGTTTATGAATACATATCTTTAAGGCAGGCTCCACACATTGATCCAGTTCAAACCATTTACAGTATTAGACCAATAATGAGTAACATAGGGGGTAATGATATCAGTCTGACATAATGATGTTGCAATTATTATTTCTTGATTTGACAGAAAAGCACACATGRCACACTGGTGTTGTTGAGGGATTAAATAATGGAATACAGGTTGGTTTGCAGCACTCCTTAATAAGGTTAGAATACATGGAACAGCATTCATATAGCAAAGTCTTTTGGGCTCACAGGAGTACCAAAGTTTTGCAGAAATTCAGAGTAGCTAATTAAGCAGATTCTCATTATCATTAAGTAGCTGAGTTACTAAAATTATGTTATTGTCAAACTATTTGTATTTGATGTACGGCTTGTTCCAAATGAAACATMTATGTGGATAAAGGTTGTGTGCCAACATTTGTTTATGAAAATTTGATGACTGAACTGGAAGTTTTTCTATTTTACGATCACACATAAGTATATTCAAGACCTCCAATAGTAGAGAATTTAGTCACTGATCCCACAGTTTATTATTAGTTTATTTTATATATAAATATTTATGTTGAACTACAATGTAAAAGCTGTGACTGAAAATAGACAGGGTCGGTGTTTCTTGATTTTCATTAAATAAAATAAAAAAACACTGTTTATCAGTTTTAAGTTTTTTCAGAGAACATTGTTTTGGTTGCTTTTTTCATTCAGTTTGAAAAACACCTGTAGTTACAGTAGCCTACCAGGAACAGAGGCAGTGTTACGTCTCACTTTGCTTTTTATGAAAGAAATGAAAACATACTAGCTTACACACAAAATGATTCAGTCAAGATCTGAGGTGTGCGAATTTCATAGCTTTAATGCAAATTTGGTCAAATTTTGCATTCATTTTACAAAACGCTGGTCATTTCTTTGACTTAATTCCCAGAAGACCCCGCAGTTCAACGCCGCGCACGAGGAAAAAYATCGAACTGGAAAATGAACAAAACCAAAAGTCGACTTTTAATAAACGAGTAATATTGAACAATTTTCGAAGAATTTATGTTTAGTAAAATTTTGGGTTTAATTAAGGACATTGTTGTCATCAACATAATTTACTTAATCTCCTGAAAATATATTAACTTTAACTCCCAGAAGCCACCGCGGTTGGAAGACCTGTCATTTCTTTAGACGAGTTGTAAGACTTCAGTTTAACTCAAATCCCATTGATTTCATGGTATTTACAAGTAAATCAGAAGCAAAGAGTGTCGTTAAATTAAAAAAAAATCAAGAAAGAATGGCAAAAAAGGTGGGATGAAGAAAGAAGGGGAAGATGGTTTCATATAATCAAAAAGAGTAGAATAAATGAAAAAGTATGGCCTTCATATATGGGGGAGAAGAAGCAGGAAGGAGRAAAGATTAATAGCAAGATTAAGATTTGGACACACAGGACTCAACCATYCTCTTTTAAAATAAAAAAGCATGATACGAGGAACTGCAGCCACAGTGGAAAGGATGAAACAATAGAACATTTTGTGTTAGGATGTTATAAATACAAAGAAGAGAGAAACATATATGAGGAAAGAGTTTGAAAGGAATAAAAAAAAATAAACATAAGAAACACCCTACAAAAGCATTTAGGGAGAAAATCAATGCAAATTATAATAAGAGTTGATTAATAAAGTCTGAATACAGTATAAATACACAAACAGTAATTTAGAAATACTCAACATCTGAACCGCACTCCATACCAGTCGGGGGCGGTAATGCACACCAAATGTTYTTGCCTACCGCCAAAAAAAAAAAAAAAAAAAAAAAAAAAAAAAAACCAGAAGAAGAAAAAGACTTCAATTCCCAGAATGCTGTGAAAGATTAGCTGCTTGTCCGGGACTCACATGGTACATACAGTAAGTACTCTTTAACCTGAAAAAATGACTAAAATAGGACTTAAAATTTTTATATACAGCTTAGACAGTCTTGTGTATTAAAAGTTCAGTTAGAATTTGTAAACGTCATGACATTAATTTGTTTTAACAAAGCGCTTTACTGCARTTTTTGTCATAAATCAGCTGCAGTACAGCCCGCCAGGCTAGCCAAGTTGCTACTTGTGTCGTAAAACTGCTAATTTTTATTTACAAAGAACTGGACGTCATGTTCAGCCTGTTCGCAGCTAAAAGTCGCCCCGGTGTTGAATCTGTACTGAAGCTCAGACAGGCTAACATGCTTGTGGCAGTTGTTTGTTGCATTTACATTGTTTATACAATTATGTACAACTATCTACAAATCGCTAACTACACAATAATACCGTTTTGTTGGCTTGTTTTTCTTTTCAGGTGTTTAAAAAATTATTTGTTAATTCACTGTGGGTTATTGTTTAAAATAGCTCGTTTAAATTTACAAGTAGCTGAAATAAAAGGCTTGATTTTAAACATTTAAACATCAGCCCTGTCCATTTCAGCCTGCAGTGTTCGAGATAACAAGATTTTCTCTGGTCAGTTCAGGTTTTGTGGACTTTCTGCAGTGAGATCAGAGTGTTGTGTTGATCTGAGATGTAGTGTTTCAAACTATTTGGTTTAACTATAAGATTTCATGTGGCTTAAACAGTTTGGATAAGTGCACTCTTAAACTGATGATTGTATACAAAACATAAAAATACAAGTAAAAAAAAGTTATCTGTTCAGATTATGTGTTACCTGTTTGTCAGAGTGATTTTTTTTAAAGTTTGTATGTTAAAACAAACCAGTTTGACTTTACATCTATAATTTAGTCAACATAAAAAGCAAATAATTTATTGCCCTGTGCATCTAAAGTCTTCACAGTTGAGTAGCTGTTCCATTTAAAACACATGTTGATACATTTGAAGATTATTTACCATCTCAATGCGTACTGAGTTGATTTTTCCTGTGCACACGACAGAGACAGGACAGCCTGACTAACAGATAGCTTTGTTATCATTTCAGGTTAACAATGACCCCCGTCTCAGCTGCTGACTGCTAGCGTGCTGTCACACGGTGCAAAGAAGCAAAGGTCAACATTTTCTCTTCCAACAACAGCATGGAGCCTTTTAGCTGCCATTTCATCACACCAGAAAATGCTTTATTCTGTTCTCCTCTAACTCTGGAAGGAAGGGGATAAAAGAAGAAGCAATTTTTTAAAAAGWTTTTCTCGTTTTATTTTCTGTCCAGTCCTAAGTTTGGCAGCTTTTTGATTTTAAAGCCATTCCTCACATGCTGATCTACATCTCAAAGTGACCACGAACCAGCTGCCACCATGGTGGCCGACGATACGGTGGTAAGTGGGGACCGATCAGAGGAGGAGAAGGATCTGGAAGTGCCTCCGCCTGAAGATGTGGAGGTGCACGGCGACCTGGAGGAGGCCGCTGACGCAACACGCGAGGCCCAGTCTCCATCAGGGAATTCCACAGAGGACACCGGCGGCGTCAAAAAATTAACATGTTCGGTGATCTACCTGTGTTTCTACGGGTTYATGACTTCAGTAAGGCCCGGGGAGGCGTTCATAACGCCGAACATGCTGAGCTTGGAGAAGAACTTCACCAGGGAGCAGGTTAGTAATATGTGTCAAATCTTAAAAAGTCCATTCGATAATATTTGAGCCTTGCAGAGTTACAGTTTAGACTCTTAGTGTAGAGAACGTTAACCTCTACAACTCTTTGACAAGTCTGTCTCTGTGTAGTTGAACTGGAAATACTTAGAAGAATTAACATCTCCTGTGGAGAGCTTACTGATCCATCTTACTGAGGTCAAAGGTCACATTCCACTAAAGTGGGTCAGGGTAATAAGTTCCAGAAAGTGGAATGTGTGATTTGAACATTATTTTTTTTATAATAATTGAATCAAAGTGACTGTATGTGGGGCTGTTTGATGTCTGCACATCATATAAAAAGCTGCAGTTTCAGGTTGGTGCAATAATTATTTATCGTTCCTGTTAACATTTCAACCCAGTAGTTTCTGCAAAATCCTGCTGCCTGACAGATGAACAAAACTCAAATCTAAATRCTATTAAAATCTAAACCTATTAAAATGTAAATTCTCTTAAAATGACAAAATTTTCCTATGT